AAAACCTGATTTTGCAGTTGCTCTACAGGTCGCAATTGTAGACCAATCAAAGCGGAAGTTAGCATGGCGCTAGAGCTTAGGGCTGGGCAGAAGCCTTCCAATTTTGATGGTTATCGGGTAATATTTAGTGGGTGAAAGAGGCCACAACATTTGTGTTAAATAAAAGTCAAAATTTCCTTTAAACAGCGAATATTTTAAACCCCGGCGAAATCACAAATAGACGAACAGGTCAATTCTGATCGTAACGTAGATGCCGATAGCAAATATGTCGGTTATATATAGCGAAATATATAAAATGTGTATATACAAAGGAAGGGGATGTGCATTTTATGCTTATATCTCAAGAATGGCTGAACCGATTTTGACAAATTTTGTCAATTCAGAATGCCCTCTTCACATAAAGGAATAAAATGTAAAAAAATCGCATAAAAAGGTATCAATAATTATGCTAGTATAGATTTTGTAGTATTTTGTGACATTTTTTTTATTTTTTCATATTTTTTATCGCATACGATTTTTTCAATTTGACTTATAATATTGAAACTATAAATATTACAAAATATGATATTTTTTCACCTTACAACACAGGTTGGGGTTTTTATATACAGATTGCAATTATCGTCCGATCCTCACGAAAATTTATACAAGGGTAGGGTTAGGCACAGAAAGGCTAGGCCTATTGTTTTCAAAGATGTCCGCAATATATTAGGGGTTGAAATTGACCAACAACTAAAAATTTTCCTGATTTTGCAGCCGTTGTAAAGGTCACAAGTAAAAACCAAAGGACACAAAATCTCACATGAAGTTAGAGTTTAGGACAGCGGGTTGAATGGACCACTACTTTTGTGTGAAAAAATACTAGCATTACTTACAGACGATATCCGAAATACACAAAAGGCGAACTTCTGGCTTTTTTATGCTGATTTCGCTGACGAATATAGCAGCATTTCGTATACAAGCAAATCATATAGATGAGCCTAAATTTGAGATACAGAGGGGCCTATGGCACTTTTTTGCATTTTAGATAATCGCAAAATATTTAGGTTTTCAAATGAACCACAAACAGAAAAATGTTTCCAAAATAAATTTGGACGTAAGGGGACTTCTAACATATTGCAGTGTTGTAGGGTATCACATGGTCGTCCCCGCACGGCTATAGCCTTTGCTTACTTGTTTTTAAATAAAATCTTTATAAAGCATTTTCTTTATATAGAAGATCTGTTACAGATAGAAGAGTTTTACAGGTCTTTGGTTGGCGGTAGATGTTTTCTAAAATCCTCTATAGACAAAAATAGTTTAATGGTCTTGCAAGACAGAAATCTTCTAAAAGTTGATACCGATTAAATTTTTGTATACTATATTTCGTGTCACCCTGTATCAATTATTATAGTCCGACAGCAAGCGATTGTTATCGTAGATATTGTTGTAGTTAAAGAAACAGAAGAGAAAAATTCAAGTGCTCCACTCTAGGTGTTTCTTACTTCTTCTTCTTCTTCATTTTTTACTCCTATGCTTTGATGCAGATGGTCTTCTTCGTATTGACATTTATACGAGTATCTGTGTCTATGTACATGTGTTTTGTATTTTGTATCTAACGCCAAAACAACTAAACTAAACTAAAGTAGATGTTGTAGAAACAATAACAATTTCCCAAACAAATAACATTTACACTCGACAGACAACCAAAAGATGAGTGTAGCCGCACAAAATAATGACTTCAAATCCAACCATGGATTTGACAAATTTTTTAACATTTTTTTCCCCAAACTGGTTAACACTGCCACTAACTAATAAAGGCAATTGCAAGAAATAGAAACTGACAAGCTTAACTGACAAAGACATTTATTGTTTTGTTGTCAAATTTGCTTTAGAGAACTTCATGGCAAGTTGTCTGTTTTTGTTTGTCGGATGGATTAACTAACAAATAAAGCAAATCTCATAATATTTAAGCTTTTAAATTAACAAGTCACTAAATGTAAATTTGTTTTCAAAGTTATTTTTTTAAATTTATTTTTTATATTTCAGTTCATGAGAAATATTTTTTTCATGATTATTTCCAAAAATTGTTGTTTTAAAAAAACAAATAATTTCAACGTCATTTGTCCACTGAGTCATTCCAAAATAACAAATTTGCATAAACCGCTAAAATGTTATTGATTTCGATTGTTTTTGTTTCCTATATAATAAAAAAAATATTGGCATGGAGATTTGTGAGTCTGATTTTGTGTGTCTCTCCCTGCAAATAAATGAGCAATTTATTTGGCAATCATTCAATAAATATTGCTTTAAAGAAATGACATAACAAAAAATGTGCAAGCCATGAGAAAATTAAATCATAAACAATATTCGAAAATTTATTGGGGTTTCTGTTTTGAAGATTTTATTCGATATTTCAATTTTGAAGCCTTCTGTTTTTTATTGTCCAAGAATGGTTTTTAATGGAATTTTTGGTGAGGAATGTAGACTGTGGGCTATATTTTAAATGTAGAAACAAAGGGAGAGTCCGGGCCCACAAAACAGTGGTAATGATGGATCTTCGGAAAAATTCTTAAAAATTAAGAAAAACATCAAAGTATGGCTCCATTGTTTTTGAGAATTATTTTCATTGCCCCCAAGAATTATATTTAAAAAGTCCACGACAACCTTATCGCTCCAAGAATTTTTTTAAAAAGTCCACGACAACCTTATCGCTCCAAGAATTTTTTTAAAAAGTCCACGACAACCTCATCGCCCAAGAATTATTTTTAAAATCCACGGCTATATTATTTGCTCTAAAAATATATTTTAAAAAATCCACAACTATATTATTTGCCCTAAAAATATATTTTAAAAAATCCACGACTATATTATTTACCCTAAAAATATATTCTAAAAAATCCACGACTATATTATTTGCCCTAAAAATATATTTAAATAAAAATCCACGACTATATTATTTGCCCTAAAATGTTTAAAAAAATTCGGGACTATATTATTTGCCCTAAAAATATTTTTAAAAATCCACGGCTATATTATTTGCCCTAAAAATATATTTTCAAAAATCCACAACTATATTATTTTCCCGAAAAATATTTTTAAAAATCCACGGCTATATTATTTGCCCAAAAAATATATTTTAAAAAATCTAAACTATATTATTTGCCCTAAAAATATTTTTAAAAATCCACAACTATATTATTTACCCTAAAATATTTGTAAAAAATCAACGACTATTTATTTGCAATAAAATATTTTTTTTTAATGCACGACAAACTTATTGGTGTTAAAAAATTAAAAAAGGATGACAATCTCATTGTCCATAACAATTTTTTTCTAAATCCACGACAAGCTCATTTCCCTTAATTTGTTTATAAATCTACGACAACTTTATTTCCCATATGTTTTTTTTTTAAATCCACGATTTCCTTTTTTCCTGATTTTTAGTTTCATTTAACAAGTACGCGATTTTCTTTTCAAATACATTTTACAATTTTCTTTAAAAAACATTGTTAAAAAATCTTCTTAAGAAAATATTTATAAAAAAATTCACGATTTTCTTAAAAAAAATAAAAAATCCATGATTTTCTTTTAAAAAATATTTTTAAAAATCCAAGATATTCTTTAGAAATATATTTATTTTTAAAAGAGATTTTCTAAAAATATATTTGTAAATCCGCCATTATTTTTAATTTTTTAAATTTTTTTGAATGAAAGTATGTGTCAGAAATAACTGATGCCACGGTCGATTAATACGAGTAAAGAGCGACCATAGGCTGTTATGGCTGCCTACACCATGAGGGCATAAAACAATTCACACCTATCCCATTTTTCAAAAAATATTTTTAAAAAATCCAGGACAATCTCATAGTCCACGACTATCTTTGTGGACCTTAAAATAAATTTAGAAAATCCACGACTCTCTTTGTGGACTTTAAAATAATTTTAGAAAATCCACGACTATCTTTGTGGACCTTAAAATAATTTTAGAAAATCCACGACTATCTTTGTGGACTTTAAAATAATTTTAGAAAATCCACGACTATCTTTGTGGACCTAAAAATAATTTTAGAAAATCCACGACTATCTTTTTGGACCTAAAAATAATTTTAGAAACTTCACGACTATATTTTTGGACCTAAAAATAATTTTAGAAAATCCACGACTATCTTTTTGTCCCTAAAAATAATTTTATAAAATCCACGACTATTTTTGGCCCTAAAAATATATCTAAAAAATCCGCTATTATTATTATGGCCCTAAAAATAATTTTAAAAAATCGAGGACTAGCTTTTTGGCCATAAAAATAATTTTAAAAAATCGACGACTATCTTTTTGGCTCCATAAAATAATTTAAAAAATTGCACGAAAATCTCAAGGCCCTTAAAATATTAAAAAAACACGACAATCTCATATTCTCTAATTCAAAAAACAAATCCTGAAAAAAATCAATTTTCACACTTTTCGCGAAATAAAATGTTCCTTTATTCGCCCCATTTTTTAAACATCTTTGCGATTTTAAATTAAACATTTTTGAGTTAAACGAACAAAAATTGTTTCCCCACCAATTGAGGCGGCAAATTATCAAAGAGAAGACATCATGACTGGATGCCACACTGCTGGCTAAATGTTTGACTGACTGGCAAAGTGCACAAAAATTCCTTAATGCACTGCTTTTGTTTTAAAGAGCCAACGAGAAGGAGAAGCAAGAAAAAAAAAAAAACAAAGAATAATCGACTGTATAAATGTTACAAACGATCCGACAGAAACAACAACAACAATGAATGCACTCGACATGGAACCCTTCAAAGAAGCAATTATAAAACATTTTTCGCTAGAGATTCTTGTAAGAAGTTCATGTAGACCGATTTTGTTGCTGCTAAAAAGCCCAAAATGAGAAAAAACATTGTAGCAAAGTGAAACTAAAAATTTTTTTAAGACAAACAACAACAAAGAAAATATATTTTTTGCAATTAAAACAAATAATTTTAATGGGTGTTATTTTTTCTCTCTATTTTTTGCAGATAGAATTTTGGAAACAAATCACAAGAACCCAGGAGACAAGGAAAGGCAATATTTCTTTAAGGAAACAATTTAAGGTGAGTCATAATTTTCAACTTTGAACAACGAATTTATTCCAGAATTTTGGAAATCATAAATTCTCATATTTTGAAATTTCGATTTTAAAAATATTATATTTACGGTTTTATGGTATTATTTTTCAAAATGTCCATTTTATAAATATTCAAATTGTATAATTTATTGTCAAAACGTTTCGAAAGATATTAATAGCCTAAACTAGAATAGAAACATTTCATTAATCAGATTAACAGCAGAGACAACATCTGTGAGATTATATCTCCCCATTCATTCATTCAGATATCTTCAAATCATTGCCTATTCCTAATTTCCATATTCATATTAATACATACATATATAAGTGTGAATCAACCAGGTCATCTCTCCACAATCTTCACATAATTTATGGTAATCCGCCACAATATCAAACTGGGCCACAATTTTTTTTTTTTCTTTCATACATGTCGAAGAAGTCTAGACTAGAACCATTCGTGCAGACCGAACACAGACGGTAGGAATTAAATCAAAGTGAAATAATTTAAACTGAAGACTGATATTTGTAAACATTCAGACAAACAGACAGACCTTCACTTTTTTCCGCTTATGTAGGCAAAGTAGGCGAGTTTAAGGTGATATATGCGGCAATCAATTGCAGAAGACAGGGAGGAAGAGAAATAGCTTCTTTCTTCCATATTTTTCAAATAAGAAAAATATGCATAAATTTAAATGCAATTAACTAACAAATAATAAATCTCTCTAAAGGAATTCTTATAATTTAGTCGTGAAGAGTCCAGAAGTGTTGCACCGTATTTTTGTGTGGATAAATAGGGGTTGAAATTCCATATTTATACCCTACACCACATAGTGGTAAGGGTATTATGTCTTTGTGCATTTGTTATACCCTACACCACAAGGTGGTCAGGGTATTATGTCTTTGTGTATTTGTTTGTAACAGGCAAAAGGAAACGAGATAGACCCATAGTTCCTTTTGATGATCTGCATAGAATCACATTCTGAGTCGATTTATGCATGTCCGTCCGTCCGTCTGTCTAAGTATTTTTGTAAACAAGGCACAGTTCGCATGAAATTTTGCACAAATCATTTGTTTGGCCCAAGGACGAACCCTATTGAAATTGGAGATAATCGGTCAAAATTTAGATATAGCTCCCATATATATCTTCGTCCGATTTGCTTTTATTGTGCACCAAACGTGTAATATCAGTCCGAATAGTATGGAATTTTGCACGTACGATCAGATTGGACCTGAAAATAAGTATGCCAAATTTGATCGAAATCGGTTCAGATATAGCTATAGCTCCCATGTATATTTTTCATCCGATTTGTTATTTTAGTCCTCCGCAGCCGTAATATGCACTCTGTAACAACAATATTTGGGGAAATATATCAAATACAGTTCAGAAATACCTTTGCTAAATTTTATCGAGATCGGTTCAGATTTGGATATAGCTCCCATATATAACTTCGTCCGATTTACCTTTTATTGTACACCAAACTTCTAATATTTTCCCAAATTAGATGAAATTTGGCACTTACTGAATTGAGTCTAGAAGCTAGTGTGCCAAATTTGATGAAGATCGGTTCAGATATAGCTATAGCTCCCATATATACTGTTCATGCGATTTGTCATATTTGTTACCCGCAGCCGTAATGTGCACTCCGTAACAACGATATTCAAGGAAATATATGAAATACAGCTCAGAAATATCTTTGCCAAATTTTATCGAGATCGGTTCCGATTTGGATATAGCTCCTATATATATCTTCATCTGATTTCAAAGTAATTTTGCACCAAATGGGCAATACAAGTCGGAACTTAAAAGATACAAATGCTTCGGCATATTTTGTCCTTTGAATTTTAAATTATAATTTTAATCATAGCGTGTATGATTGAATTCTCCCATAAAAACTTTTAATTGTTATGCGCAGCTCTACTAAATTAGCAACGTGGTGTAGGGTATCATAAAGTCGGCCCCGCCCGTCTTTAAGACTTTCTTTACTGGTTTGTAACATGAAGAAGGGCATAGAATCATATTTTGAGTCGATTTATGCATGTCAGTCCGTCTGTCCATGTATTTTTGTAAACAAAATGCAGGTCGCATTTATTATTCGATTGAGATGAAATTTTCCAAATAACATTTGTATGACTCAAGGACGAATCCTATTGAAATTGGTGAAAATCTGTCCAAATTTAGATATAACTTCCATATATATCTACGACCGATTTTAGGTCAGGATTATTGTGGCCCAAATGGCTAATATCAGCCCAAATGGGCATGAATTTTGGTATTTCCTACCGAATTCAGCCTACTAGCATGTACTTCAAATTTGGTTAAAATTGGTTCAGATATAGCTATAGCTCCCATATAAATGTTTCGTCCGTTTTTAGGTTTCTTGTGCACCAAATGGCTAATATAAGTCCGAATGGTGTGAATTTGGGCACTTCCGACCGAATTTAGTATAGAAATAAGTACTTTAAATTTGTTGGGAATCGGCTCAGATATAACTACAGCTCCCATATATACGGTTCATCCGATTTGGTGTTTAAGTCCCTTAAATTCGTAAAATGCACGATAAAAGAATAATATTTGGTATTTGACATCAGATCTTGGCTGTATCTGTTTTCAATTTTATAAAGATCGGTTCCGATTTGGATATAGCTCCCATATATATAATTATCAGATGTCAGGTTTATTGTGAACCAAATGGCTAATATTATACCAAATGGTGTGAATTTTCGCAATTCAACCGGGTTTAGCATAGAAGCAAGAATTTCAATTTTGCTCCCATATATATGTTTCATCCGAATTTTAAAAGTCCGCAATGTCGGATGGGCCTTATAAAAACATTACGCCCAACGATCGGTTTAAAGTATACACATACTTGATCAGCATAAAATCCTATGTCGGTTTAGCGATGACCGTCCGTCTATCTGTCTGTCTATTTGTGGAAATCGCTCAAGCTTTCGAACGAAATGAAGAAGGTTGATGAAATTTTACACAAATGTAGGGCTTCTGCAAGACTTTTGGTATTGAAAATGGTTCATGTAGGTCCACGTTTTGTAAAGCCTCCATATAATGGTACCTCCCTATTTTCGGAATTTTGGTGATTTAAGCGACATAACTCCCCGAAAATGTTTTAAATTTGGTATTTGAAGTTCGAAATGGATACTACAGCCTAAGACAGAAAATTGCCCGTGCAGGTCCACGTCTTCTTATAGCCCCCATATAACGGTACCGCCCGATATTCAGTATTTTGATGATTTTAGCGACATTACTCACCTGAATTATTTCAGATTTGGTATTTGAAGATCGTAATGGATACTACAGTCTATTACAGAAAATTTTGTGTTCCGGTTCACGTTTTCGTATAACTTCCCTGGTACCTCTCTATATTCGGTATTTTGATGATTTTAGCTACCTTATGAACAGATTCTTTTTTCAAGTTCCGCATTTGAATATTGTAATTCTTAAGACAAAAGTTGCCCATGCAGGTGCACGTCGTCGACCATTAAATAACGACTACATTCGGTATTTTAAAGATTTTTACAGAATTTTTAACGGATTTTATTATTATTATTATTGTTTTTTTTTTTTTTTAAATTCCCAATTCCGTTCCAAATGGTGGAGGGTATTCAAAGTTCGGCCTGGCCGAACTTACAGCTTTTTTACTTGTTTTTTTTTTACAAAACTTTTCCAAAGTCTCCATGAGATTCCAGCAATGTACGTTTACTCAATACCAAATTTAGGAAGATTTACTACTTTCAGAATAATCTAAGTACTCATTTACAAAACCGTTCCATATCTCAACCCAAGACTCCAGCAGTTACTGCTTTATAAAATGTCACCGTTTCAGTTCAATTTCTTTACCCAATGCCAATTTTAGTACCATTTAATACTTTCACTACATCAATAGAACGGATTTCTAAACCACCGCCAAATCTCAAACACAGATACCATCAATAATATCAAAATTATATCCAAATACCTTCACCCAATACCAAATATGGATGGTACACAGTACTTATCTCAAAATAATTATATTTCCAAAACCTTCTCCATATATTCAGGTTACACATGAACAGCTACTTTAAGAACAATTTTCAGAAAAACCTTAGAAATCACCAATATCGTAAAGATTCAAATATGGCATATGAAACACTTAAGCATGGGAGCGTCCACATACATATACATATGTGTCTGTAAATGTATAGATGTTCTACTTTTATTCCCGATTTCTTGTCGAGCTCATGTACCACACCGATTTTCAAAATCAAAGTATTATTTTCTCCCTAACCACTGTCCAATATCGGAACTAAATTTCACGAAAATCCACAACTGTTTAAGAAATATTGATGACATACTTCCCCACTTCTGTGTCTTTTCTACTCATTCTTTGCCATTTCACACTTCGTAGATACAAATCACATTTCATTGAGTTGTAAATCATTAAGACAAATAAACACCACTACGACCTGGAAAACTAACGTTCCTCAAAGTAATTTCTCCCCGCCAGTAATGGTTCTATGAGTGGAGAATTTCAAACAAACAGAGATATTTTAAAGCCAAATGAATGCATTTATTTCCAATGTCCAACTGTGATTTATTTATTTACTCTGGCTCAAGTTGAAATGAATTCTCCTCTCCAATTTGAGGAACAAATTAAATTTCAGAATTTATCTATTGTTTGTGATTTACTGAACTTTAAGATATTAATTGAAGATATTGCGGGTGTGGGTTTTCTGCAGTCTGCTTGGGTTTATTTGTTTTTTTTTTTTTTTTTTTTTTTTTTCTTTTATCGTAAGTAAACAAATTGTCGCATTTGTTTTAATCTTTGTTTTTCGTTCTTCGCTAGTTTTTTGTTTAGAGATTCATTGATAATTAAAAAATTTAATCCAAGCCGACAATAAAAATGAAAAGTTTTGAAATTGTCACGTTGCTGATTGATAAGTTGATAAAAAGACAAATAATGGAATATCGGAAGCAATTTTTAAACGGAGACA